ACAAAGAATCTAACTAGACACTTAAAAGAAGACATGCAAATGGCCAACAGATATATGAAAAAATGCTCAACGTCACTCATCTTTGGGAAAATGCAAATTAAAACCACAATGAGATATCTCCTCACACCTGTTAGAATAGCTATTATCAAAAAGACAAAAAAGAAAAAAAAGTATTGGCAAAGGTGTGGGGAACAAGGAACACTGTGCATTGTTGGTGGGAATGTAAATTAACATAACCATTATGGAAAACAGAATGGAGGTTCCTCAGAAAACTAAAAATAGAATTACCATATGATTCAGCAATCCTGCTTCTGGGTTTCAATCCAAAAGAATTGAAGGCAGTACACCAAAGAGATATCTGCACTCCCATGTTCATTGCAGCATTATTCACAATATCTAAGAATTAGAAGGAACCTGGGTGTTCATTCTCAGATGAATGGATACAGAAGACATGGTATATGTACACGATGCAATGCCTTTGCTCATTTTTTGATTGGGGTATTTGTTTTCTTATTATGAGTTGTTTGAATTTCTTATATATTTTAGACAATAGCCCCTTAACAGATTGTTTTATTAGGTCTTAAAAAAAGTGGGAAGGCCAGGTGCGGTGGCTCTTGCCTGAATCCCAGAACTTTGGGAGGCCGAGGCGGGTGGATCACGAGGTCAAGAGATTGAGACCATCCTGGCCAAGATGATGAAACCCCATCTTTACTAAAAATACAAAACTTAGCCAGGCATGGTGGCGTGTGCCTGTAGTCCCAGCTACTGGGGAGGCTGAGGCAGTAAAATTGCTTGAACCCGGGTGGCAGAGGTTGCAGTGAGCCGAGATTGTGCCACTGCACTCCAACTTGATGACAGAGCAAGACTCCATCTAAAAAAAAAAAACAAAACAAAACAAAAAAAAGAGTGGGAAATTCTCTCTCATTTGCAACAACATGGATGAACTTGGAAGATATTATGCCAAGTGAAATAAGCCAGACACAAAAAGACGGATACCACATGATCTCACTTATATGTGGAATCCAAGAAATTTGAACTCATAGAAGTAGAGAATAGAATAGTGGCTATAAGAGGCTGGGGGAGGGGATGGATGGGAAAATAAGAGATGTTGATCCATGGGTACAAAGTTTCAATTAGAAAAGAGGAATAGGCTCTGGCAGTCTATTGCATAGAATGGTGACTACAACAAATAATAATATATTTTAAATTTCAAAATCGTTAGAAGAATAAATGTTAAATGTTTTCACCACAAAAAAGTGCTAAGATTGTGAGGTGATTGATCTGTTAATTAGCTTGATTTAACCATTCTGTGTGTAAACATATATTAAAATGTAACATTGTATCCCTTAAATATAAACAACTATTATCTTTCAATTAAAAAGAAGTTAATTTAATTACAGGCCACGTAATTGTTATGAGTTAAGTAAATAGGGAAACCTGATGAAGAGTAAATGTCCTGCTAATGGGGGCTTCCTTCAGTAGGATAGTTTGGAGAAAGCTCATTTTGAGCTGAAACTTGAAGAATAAAAATGAAATTTGAATCTGGAGAAAACACAATTAAGGCCATGGGTCCAGCAAGAAGAACAAAGGAACTTGAAGGTAGGGGTGGGCATGAAGTGTTAAGGCAGTGGTCTAGGAATATGAGCAGACATCTGAACCACCCACAGGGCTTTTTACAATGCAGATTTCTCAATTCTGCCCCCAGCCAGTAGGTCTGGGTACAGCCTTAAAGTGTGTTTTTCTCATAAGCTTCCAGGAGATACAGTTGCTGCTGGTTTAGGAGCAACACTCTGGGAATCATTGTGTTAGGAATTAAAAGCAGGAGAGGGCTGTAGTACTATGAGCTAGGGACATATAGTAAGAAATAAGACTGGAGAAGGAGGCAGGGGCTCTTAGGAGCTCAATCGAAAGGAAGTTCAAGGTTTGTTCCAGGTTGATGAGAAGTTGAAAGTTCTGTTAAGTCCTTAGTGACAATACTGTTGTTCTTGAATGCTTACAATGTAGTCAGTCTTCCAGTACTATCTGATTCTACATGGCCTTTGCCCCTTAATGCAAGTGAAGCAAATTCAGTGGAATTAATAAATAACCTATAATCCCCGCCCTGTATTTGGTACCTGATGAACTTTTGACAAACGGAAAAGATTGCTCACTTTGCAGACTGGAGACATGCTCCTACATTCAGGTTTTGGAATCATGGTACAGCAAATCAAGGGTGGTTACAATTCAGGTCCCCCCAACATTTACTGATACACCGTTTCTGCACCTGCACAATAGACTTAGTGCCACAAGGACCTAACCAGAGAATATTACCTGATTTCTAATAGCAAGCAGCTTTCAAACTTTTGATGATAAAATAGTATAAACATAAAGCAATTAGAGGATCATATGAGGAGAAGACAGTGCAATGTGTAATAAAGTGCTAAATTGAATATTATATACAAAAATTAATGATGCAGATAAAAATTGCTATGGCCACACAAAAGTGGGAGAATTATTGTTTGAAGTTATTGACTAATGTTTCATTTGAAGAAGGCATTCAGGCTGGTCCTTAGAAAATGGTTAAAATTTGGCAGTTAGAGGGAAGGCAAAAGACATGGAAAAGGCTTCATCTTTAGATTCAATCAACATTCAAAGAATTATTGTGTTTTCCCAGAGTTTTTGCTGTTCTACTGCCATTGACAGTAAAACCTTCCATGTGTTTCTGATTATTGAGTACAATTGAATTACTAGCCAATTGTATGGTGAGAGTTGTTTGGCCAGGGAGCCCCTGTGGACTTCTCAGAAGCTTTTATCCTTTGAAAGAAGCTGTCCTGATTTACCATTGTTAATGAAACTTGTATAACACAATGCTCAAGTTTAAGACCCACTGAGAACATGACCACGTACCTCCTTTCATCTCTACATGGGGCAACCACATGGCCAATAGGAGCTGCAGAAACCCAGCAGCAGTGCGGTAACCCCAGCGTTAGTAATTGTTTTGAACTTTCTTATGTCATGTCCTCATAGCATTGTATTATGAGTGATGGCCTGCCCTGCTTCCACCCTTCATGAATAAATGCAAAACGCCTTGCCACCCAGAAGACGAACCCTTTGTAGTCGTGCATCTCTTTTGAACGTGCATCTTTAGGACCCTGTGTTCTTTCATTTCAATATTCTTGCTTTTGTGAGGCTTAGGTTAGAAACTGTGAAATATGCTGTTATTGCAATGGTTTTATGTTTTTCTCTGTGATGTGCTTTTATGCATTAGTTCCTGACATATATTTGGTGAGACATGTATTTGGTGAGTCAATCTCCTTTGCTGAGATTCTCTGGGAAATTCATGGAGTTATCCTGAATATTAAGATATTTCCTGTGAGTCCAGATACTCCTAAAGGTATAGATTTATCTTTAATCCCAAAGTTAAGGCAGACTATATCAGAAAAGAGAGAGAATGTTTGGAGAGAAGTGCCAGTCTGACCAAAAGAGAGAGTTTAATGGCAATCTGTAAGAGACAGATCATCAAAAAAATTTTTATGCCCCCCTCATATCAGTGAAAGATTTTGAGAATACCTTCAAAATAAGTAAACTTATTTATAAGTTATATACATGTACTATTATTCTTATATATTAACATATGAAAGACACACAGAAATAGAAATAATTTAGAATTAAAAGAAACACAATTTCTAATATTTTCTTTCTATAGCACAAATGATTCTCTTTTGCATGCTCCAGCACACGCACACTCCATTTAAGAGAATTTGTTTTTAACCAGGAGCAGTGGTTCAATCCTGTAATCCCAGGACTTTGGGAGACTGAGGCAGGCAGATCACGAGGTCAGGAGATTGAGACCATCCTGGCCAACATGGTGAAACCCTGTCTCTACTAAAAATAAAAGAAATTAGCTGAGTGTAGTGGTGTATGCCTGTAATCCCAGCTACTAGGGAGGCTGAGGCAGGAGAATAGCTTGAAGCCAGGAGGCGGAGATTGCAATGAGATGGTGCCACTGCACTCCAGCCTGGCGACAGAGTGAGAGTGTCTTGACAACAACAACAAAAGAATCCATTTTTAGAATACCTGGAGCAGCAGTGTGCTGTAGTGTAATGGCTCTCAAACTTCAGACTGCATTCGAATGTTCCGGAAGCTTATAAAAACAGATGTATGCCTCCCTGCAAAAGTTTCTAATTCAGTGGGTCTGGGGTGAGCTCCAAGTGTTTGCATTCCTGACACATTCCCAGTTGGTGGTCATCTGAGAAATACACGTTGAGAATCACTGGTATAGTTGACAGCATGGGTTTTAGAGTTAGTTTACCTAAGTTGGACATCAGCATCCTTCAATTAATATGTGACCTTGAGTAAATTACCGTGCCTTCCTGAGCTCAGTTTTTTAAAATCTGTAAATTGGAGGTAATCATAATTACTTAACTCTTAGAGTACCTAGAAAGCTCAGTGAGATAATGTAAATACATTGTTTAGTACCCAGTACTCCCCTCCTACAAAACATCAACACATGCTGGCTGCTAAATCCTCCTTCTTCTCCTTCTCTTCATCATTATCAATATCATTAAACATCTTTTTTATGTCACAAGGTAGACATAGGGACTTTTGGTTTCAGGATTAAAAAAACACTGTGCCTTAATTTACAAGAATCATGGGAATGAATTTTTTTTTCTGTGTTAGCATTCTACATTAAAAATACTATAATCCAAATGAGATATCTTTCTAGTTGAAAGGTAGAGATGAAGCTATTTTGCAAAGTCAACCCAAAGGAGAACAGTGTGTTCAGCCTTCTCCCTTCTGTGTGTAACTGTTGATAGTTTGTGGCTAAGTATGTATTTCTGTCATCTTTTGTATATACTGAGTTTTTGTTGCATGAGACTGAGTTGACAATTTTGGTGCTGTGTCTTCAAATGTTTGGGGGCATGAGAATGGTAAATTCAGGTGATTTCTTTGAATCTAATTTTTAACATTTCTTCTGTCTCTCCTTTTTCTTTTTTCCTCCTCTTCTTGTGCATCACTAGGACCCAGTACCACCTGCCAGGAAGATTCATGTGCCAACCAGGGGGTCTGCATGCAACAATGGGAGGGCTTCACCTGTGATTGTTCTATGACCTCATATTCCGGAAACCAGTGCAATGATCGTAAGTACAACAGCCTTTCATACTGGAACTTTGTCAAGGTGTTCGGAGATTTGGAGAATCTTAAGGGACAATGTATAAAAGAATGATTCTTCTGAAAGATTCATAAGTAATTCTCTCCTCCAGGAACTTGGGAAATAAATGACTAGTGTTCTTATGAGACGAGTGAAGAGATGTGTCTTGCTTAACAACACTAAATGTTCTCCCACTTACTTACTCCCTGTGTTTTTTTCTTTAGATTAGAATAGCGACTGACAAACAATAACCACAGCAGCAAAACCAATTCAGGCAATATTTTTGTTGTAAGGGCTTCAGGTCTTCATGAATTAAATCACCTTATCTTATTGAATTTAACTCCAAATTGGTAATAATTTTGAGACTCTCCCCTTTTGCATTGCCTAGAATGTTGAGGTTATTTAAAGGGTATAGCTGTTTTCTCAAAAGGTTTGAGTTATCTGAATTTCTTAGGCCTTCCAAATGACAAAGATATTCAAGAGTTTACTTTTTACAATTAGCAAAGTTTAAAGCATTCTTGGGTATCTTTCAGGTATAGGGCAGAAATTCTCTCTGACTAAATTTATTAGTATCTGGTTTATATACTCATAGCTATTCTGCATGTTTGTGTGTGTATATATATGTGTGTGTATATACATGTATGTATGTATTTTCTATTTTGTGAGTGTGTGTGTGTGTATATATATATATGTATATATAGTATATTTGGTTTTTATTGGAAGAGAGTCTTGTGATTGTTAATTGTGTCCACTAGTGCTGCTTCTGGTTCTTGGGTTTAGTTCTGACTTCATGAAGGTGCTTCTAGCACTGGAAAGACGCTTCAATGCTGTGGGCATCTATAACCTGTGTCTCCACTTCTTTCTCATGTTGTTTCCTTGATGTGGCCATAGTAAAGGTGAGCATACACTTTAAATTTCTGAATGACTACGTCTAAGTGATTTGTTGAAAATCCCTGACTTAGTGGGTCCTACTAACCTTCTGACTTTCTAAATGCAGCCTTGGTTTTATAATCCAGACTCATTTGACCTCTTGGTTTTAGAAAAATGATGTATGACATTATCTGAAAAAATAGTAAAGTCACATTATGGCGTGGCCACATGGGAACAGACACCAGTTATAATGCTATGCCCCCCAGATCTATGTGGTTTTCTTGATTCTTTATTTCTCAGTTTATTATCCGTGTGCAGCTGTCTGTTGTTGTTCTTTTTCCCATTTTTCTTAGTAGTTTTGGTCCCATATGCTCTTTCATTCTCTTGAGGTACACTGAGGAGAAACAAGTGGAGAAGTTGGCAATATAGAGAGAAAATTATGTAATACACATTCATCTAATTACATAAGCATATGCCTCTGTATCTGTCATGCGAAGGATACAATGTCTGGAGAAAGTTTTGGCATAAGATTGCTCTTACCAAGTATTTTGGTATTATTGAAAGTCACGTTGCCATACTTATGATGTGGAAATACTGTTTCACTCTGAAACAGGTAGTTATAAACCTGAGGAATTATACGCCATGGTCTTTCTTTTTCCTCCAATTTGTCTGTATAGCACTCACTAGGAAGGCTTTTTTTCTCTAAATGGTGGCATAATGCTTCTTTATCCTCACAAGTTTATTTCTTGTCACACATACATCCCACTCTGGGTTGAAAATGGTCATGAAGAGACTCTCCACACAGAACAGGTATAAAGGTAAGTTATCCTAACATGGTGAACTTGCACAATCTTCAGAAGGTAGGTGTGTCTTTTTCTATCTTTGACAAGTTCCTGTCTGTTACCCAATACCAGGCATTATTTTCTGGTAAAACACAGGAAGGATTCTTTCTAGCATTCTGTGACTGTTTCTGGTTTTATCAAGAGCAGATTATGTCTCAGTCTGGGATGTGGAGTATTACATTGTCCCACTTGGGGAATTTGTTGGGATATAATGAAGCACTAGAACTTACATTGGGAAAATGTCAGCTTTCCTTTGTGGCAACAGTTTATCATAGTTCAGAAATATTTCTAGTAAATCTAGGTTTAGGGCAATACATTTTGAATTTTGTTCTTTAACAATGCAGCTAAATCTTTTCATTGTAGCAGACTTGGGAACCTGCATCTCTAACAGGAGCTACTTGCCTAGTCCCCCACCTGGAGATTGGACCACGGCTTCTGTGATTGGATAGATATATGCAAATGATGAAGTACACATCTTTTTGTTTTTTTTTGAGATGGAGTCTTACTCTGCTGTTGCCTCTCTGCTGTTGCCCGGGCTGGAGTGCAGTGTCGCAATCTCGGCTGACTGCAACCTCCACCGCCCAGGTTCAAGCGATTCTCCCATCTCAGCCTCCCAAGTAGCTGAGATTACAGGTGCCCACCACTATGCTCTGCTAATTTTTTTTGGTATTTTTTAGTAGAGACGGGGTTTCACCATGTTGGCCAGGCTGGTCTTGAACTACTGACCTCGTGATCTGCCCTCCTTGGCCTCTCAAAGTGCTGGAATTACAGGGAAGTACACATCTTAATTGTGGAGTGTGATAAATATATAAAGTTAAGACATAAAGGATGTGACTGTGAAGTTTGAATATAAGCTTTTAATGAAATTCAACCAAATATAGCAGAATGGTAGATTGCTTAAAATGATTACATTGGACGTTTCTGTTTCCAATAATTGGTATTCAAGGTATCTGGAAGACCTTCTCTTTTGGAACTAGCATCAAAGCCAGTTTGTTCTACCTAGAATAAGCAGTCTCACTATATCATAGGCCATTATTTTCTATATCAGTCTTGACCCTTAGAATTATAATTGGCTATTTCATCTCACAAACATCTTCAAAATGAAGTTCCCTGTATGATATTCTATGTGCTTACCTTTGTTGATAAATTTTTGGTGGTGTATCCTGTATCAGGATTCAAGTATCAACCTTCACTGTCACCAGCAGACTTGAATAGGCTCATGCTTATCATCAGCAAAGAGCAGTGGGGGAAATTGCAAGGAAAGAAGATATAAGTTCATGGAGGAGGAAGAATAATGACGAGAAGGAATATAAAGAAAATCAGAAAATGGGTCACATATGGAAGAGCACAGAGGTCATTAACAATTGCTTTGGTAACATGCCTGCCACAAGTGGCCTGCCTTTGACCTAAATAACAGAAATGGGTCACGGCATTAAAAGTCGAGTGCCATCAAGGAAACCTGTCCTTTACCTAATTAATTCCTGCAAAGAGAATATTCTATAGAATGTTGCATATAGCTCAAATAAATTGTATCCATTTAAATGCTATCATAGGACCATGCAAATAGGTTAGAGATCAAATTTAATTGCAAAAAGCATTTTGTGGGGAAAAAGAAAGGTTATGGATATCTCATTTTCCAGGAGCTGTTTCTCAGGGCAACAGATTGATCCTCAATTAATGAACATGAAAACACTTCAGTTTATTACTGTGTATCCAAAAACTGAAACTTACTCAACAGGGAAATAGCTAGGTCTTATATTTTCCAAAAAAAGGTACTTGTTTCATCATGTGTAAAAACATTAATCATATCTAGGCATGACTTGTAAGGCTCTAAAAATGTCTACATTTTAGGGTGTTGCTTTTTCGTAGCATTGGTTCTTTTATGACCTTTGTGTTTTTCTTGCCTATTTACCAAATACGTTTGCCTGACAATTTTAATGTGCTGTTACATAGATGTTGCCTCTGTGAGTAGAGTGTACATTTTAAAACTTAGTCTCATTTAGTGTGAGTAGGCCAAGCCTGGATGTTTTCCACTGTATTTCTTTATTCTTTGTGTGACCCTGGTGTGTTGATGGAGGCAGTGGGGTGACTTTCAGTTTCACTCTTATAAACATAGCTGTGCAAAGCTGATATTCTTTAGAGCTGATTGTCTTGTATAAGCGTGATTCCCTTGTATGGGGTTAGGAAACAAAAATCCTCTGATTGGAAACCCAAGTGTAATTGATTTGCTAATTTTCTTACGTAGTTTTAGATATGACCTTCCACAGTGTTACGTAATGGTAAAGTCATGGGGAGTTTCTTTGGGGTTGACTTTTAGGGCTGTTTTGATTCTACAATCTAATCATCCCAGAAGAAATTTTGAGTTAATGTAGAAATCAGTATGATCTGTGGAAGAACACGTAAGTAACATTTTCCAAGATCATCTTCAGTTCTTGTGAAACATTTAAAATTGAGGGAGTTGGCTATTCAGAGGGTGAGCACCACCTAAAAATCAACTTAATAAAAGCTGTCTTGGACTACATTTTAAGAACAACAGAGGAAATGGAACCTTACCAAGGTTCTTATAGGAATATTCTTTTTTGATATTGGGTTCTTATTAGTATTTTAAATCAGGACTGAGAACCTGGGAAATTCTAGCACGTTGTAGCCATGGCAGCACCAGGCAAATCCAGAATCTCCTTCCCATATTTTGTGGTAATATCACTGTCATTGTCAGCCTACTGTTGAGTTTTTCTTTCCTTCATAACATCGAAAAATGTTGTGTAGAATAGAACCCTCCTGAATGCACCCACACATGTACAAAAGGGTTGTCATTTTTATGGACTTTGTGAAAATAGCAGTTTTAAACTTTTCATACCTATCCTTAACAGCATTGTTGCCTTTTACCATGTACATGACAACTGTTTTGAGTGTCATGTAATTTGGGGGTCTCGTTATTGCTTCTTGTGCCCGTAGAAGCACATATAGGACAGTCTTCAGCACATGAGTCCTTAACACACCTGAGTTTAGGAAGTGGGTGCTCATCAAGGCTTTGTGGGGTGAAGTAAAGGGAATGAACATGGGTCCTCAGCCCACTCTTAGGAGCCGGCCACCCTGTGCTACATTGCTAGTCACACATTGCAGACTGCCTGTTGGAGAAATTGCTAGGTTCACACTGGCATGTGATAATAGATGTTCTTTGCTTGCAACAAATCAATAGCAAGCAGCTGTGGATCGTGCCGATAGTGGAGTGTAAAGCGCCTTTTTCAGACAGTTTTCTACAGGAGTGGCTGTTAAG